ACTTAAGTCAAAACATGTATAGAAGATGACTAAGCTATGGAAGGAAATTGAATGGTAGTTGACAAATGACTAATGTGAAATTATGGTAAATGACATGTGAAATAATTTGGAATTTTATCGATCAGATAAACTCCCGGGGGACTAGATTTGCTTCTTGGCTGGAAATGTGTTCGAGAAAAAGTTCACAATGGAAATAGTAAGCGAAATGAGTAACATAGCGACACAGGCAGCTATAAAGGTTCTAATAAGACCGAAGAAGGTAAAGTTTCGCGGAATTGATGAGACCCATTCCGTAACGCTGTGCCATACGTTGTCCGGTGGAATCGTACTGATGTCATCGTTGATTCCAATCTCGCGTTGAAGCTCTGAGTTCCGCACGTAATCCAAAGTGCCGTTGATGAGAAAGTGTGATTGCCCTCCGGGGCAGGAGACAGTGCAATTCGTAGCGATTTTCGGAGAGTTAAAATGGAAACTCAATACTGATAGTCTTCCTCTTGGAGTGCATATAGCAAGCTGGTGTTGTCCTTCGCATGTTATGTCAGCAGTGGTTTGGTCCTGTGTGGAGTAGCATACTATTGTGGCCTTTGCTCCGAAAATGCAGGAGTAACATCCTTCGAGAACAGAAGTCGTAATGGAGCATTCCCCGTGGTTCTGAATTGTCGTTATTTTGACATTTTCCATCGTTGCGTGAACGTGAATGGCTGATCCAACTTGCGTACGGGCTGCAATCGTATCGCCGTGTTTTTCGATGACGATGTTCTTGCTTGTGAATGGCAAGGTGTTGCGTTGCAGATAAGACGATATTTTCCCTTCTGGACATGTGCAGCTGGCTTTGAATGATCCCGTAGAGCATGTGCATGCTCTTGCGGAAAATCGACAACTGAATTGTTTCGCTTCGGCTTTGGAAGCGCACTGGAGCTGCCCTGGCGTTTGGGGAGTTAACTCATTTGCCTGAACGGTCATGGTCATGGCTGTTTTCTTGCCGTCGGTTATGAAGGCCGAGCCCAAAATGGGAAGCTGGGGAGAAACGGTTGCAAGAAGAGATAGTTTGATGTTCTTCACTCTTGCGGTTCTTTCCTGGTCGAAGTACGACGCGACGCTGTGTTCTGTCTCAGTTTCCTGAATTATTCGACGCTTTCCAGCTGAACTCGGATATGACGTCTGTTGATTTCGTATTGTCGCATTTCCCAGGCTTGCAGCTCCCTGCTCTGTAACAGCGATGAGAAGATTCTGATTGGAATTCGTGGTCGCGTGTGAAGAATTCGATCTTTTGGTGGCAGACATGTGATATGTTTTCATCCGTAATGACACTTGGCCGATTGGCTCGTTCTTGTCATTTCTCAGGGCGAGACATATATCTTGGCCAAGAGGCTGAAGAGTCACGGTAACGCCTTGGTTGAAAAAGCACGTTTCGGTGGAATTGACGATGGAACAGGATTCAGTCGCACTGGTTATTGAGACGATGTCTGAGCAGCAGTGGCCGAGTTTCTCCTTCAGTGCCAAGGCTAGTATAGTGACAATAAGTGTCGCCTTCTTCATTGAGCGTGAACGTCGACTGGCACGATTGTAAGGTCGGAAGGGAGTGGAGAAGGATTCCTCTCTTCGGATATGTCTTCTCTTGATTTTGTGCCATATGGATGACAAACATCTGACCATAAGCACAGGGAGTCTGACCAATCGTCTGATGATGGTAAGTAGTGGATGAAGAATCCAATATAACGATATCACTATGACGAATGATGTTGTAGCGAGTAGGATGTCGAAATTCGTCCAGCATTGAGTGTTGTAAAGTTTCTCCAAGCAGAAAGAGCAGTGGAGTATTTCGCATATCGGATGCGCTGGACATGTGAGCGAAGACTGATGGACACGTAATCCGTTCTGCCATGCCGTGACCTGTATTGTGCATTTGAAGACGACCAGTTCCGTTGGGAACAGTAGCGATGTAGTCGAAGACATGGGAAGCGAAGATGCAGTACGAAGCAATGCATGCTTCTATGATGTCAATCTCTCGATCAGCTTTGATTTCCAGTCCTCCTTTGGAGCAGTTTGTCAGTATAAGGATTGACTCAGCGTAAGTCTGTAAGTTGTGAGGGTAGAATTCCCTTGTGGTGGTGCCCCAGGCTTTGATGGGAATCAGGATAGTTGAAGACGTTGAGCTGCTGAAATCGAACAGTGCTATGGGGACGTCATATATGCAGAACTTGTTCGCCTTGTCGCTGCACTGATGCTTCTCACAGAAGGCAGATGTTCCCTGGTAAGGTGGTTCCGTCGAGACGCGTTCTCCTTTGGGACTGATGCAAATGAAGTCCTCATTGTTAAGGTAGTCCTTGACTGCGACTTGGAGATGTGGTACCAGAAGTGTGCTCCCGTCATACAGTTCTATTTGATTGAAGGTTCCAATTTTCTTCTTTGCGCTGCATCTATCGGATTTGCTGAAAGAGCAGACGTCGGCCGGAACGAAATTGTGAAATTCTTGTGGGATGTTTGACTTTCTTGATTCCAGTGTCCGTGAGCTGTTGTAGTGTGAGCAAAATTGCGACCATTTTGGACAATCGCAACGCGTTCCGCAAATGTTTGAGTCCGGTTGGTAAGGGAAGGTCGCACGGATTTCACCATTCGGACATGACACTGGAAACCAACACATGAAGGTTTGCTTCTGCCTTGCGTACGTTGCTACTGCTACTCCATTGGATACACATGGTGTTGCGTAGAGAATTTTCCTGACGATAGTAAGTTCATCTGGACATCGGTTGTTCGCAGCAATCATGCACGGAAGTAATAAGGTGATCATGGAGAGAAGAAGATTTTGAAGTGGACGTCGCCTGGCTTTTTTATCTGATCGATAAAATTCCAAATAATTTCACATTTACCATAATTTCACATTAGTCATTTGTCAACTACCATTCAATTTCCTTCCATAGCTTAGTCATCTTCTATACATGTTTTGACTTAAGCCTACAGTTGTTTTGTCTTTAGCTTCACATTGGATATTTGTCACCAGTCAAAATTAAAATCCGTGCGCATATAAGCGCGCGACGACTGATTTGTATGGTTCAAACCACCACGAATAAAGCTTTATTCGTGGTGGTTTGAACCATACAAATCAGTCGTCGCGCGCTTATATGCGCACGGATTTTAATTTTGACTGGTGACAAATATCCAATGTGAAGCTAAAGACAAAACAACTGTAGGCTTAAGTCAAAACATGTATAGAAGATGACTAAGCTATGGAAGGAAATTGAATGGTAGTTGACAAATGACTAATGTGAAATTATGGTAAATGTGTGAAATTATTTGGAATTTTATCGATCAGATAAACTCCCGGGGACTAGATTTGCTTCTTGGCTGGAAATGTGTTCGAGAAAAAGTTCACAATGGAAATAGTAAGCGAAATGAGTAACATAGCGACACAGGCAGCTATAAAGGTTCTAATAAGACCGAAGAAGGTAAAGTTTCGCGGAATTGATGAGACCCATTCCGTAACGCTGTGCCATACGTTGTCCGGTGGAATCGTACTGATGTCATCGTTGATTCCAATCTCGCGTTGAAGCTCTGAGTTCCGCACGTAATCCAAAGTGCCGTTGATGAGAAAGTGTGATTGCCCTCCGGGGCAGGAGACAGTGCAATTCGTAGCGATTTTCGGAGAGTTAAAATGGAAACTCAATACTGATAGTCTTCCTCTTGGAGTGCATATAGCAAGCTGGTGTTGTCCTTCGCATGTTATGTCAGCAGTGGTTTGGTCCTGTGTGGAGTAGCATACTATTGTGGCCTTTGCTCCGAAAATGCAGGAGTAACATCCTTCGAGAACAGAAGTCGTAATGGAGCATTCCCCGTGGTTCTGAATTGTCGTTATTTTGACATTTTCCATCGTTGCGTGAACGTGAATGGCTGATCCAACTTGCGTACGGGCTGCAATCGTATCGCCGTGTTTTTCGATGACGATGTTCTTGCTTGTGAATGGCAAGGTGTTGCGTTGCAGATAAGACGATATTTTCCCTTCTGGACATGTGCAGCTGGCTTTGAATGATCCCGTAGAGCATGTGCATGCTCTTGCGGAAAATCGACAACTGAATTGTTTCGCTTCGGCTTTGGAAGCGCACTGGAGCTGCCCTGGCGTTTGGGGAGTTAATTCATTTGCCTGAACGGTCATGGTCATGGCTGTTTTCTTGCCGTCGGTTATGAAGGCCGAGCCCAAAATGGGAAGCTGGGGAGAAACGGTTGCAAGAAGAGATAGTTTGATGTTCTTCACTCTTGCGGTTCTTCCTGGTCGAAGTACGACGCTGTGTGTCTCGGTTTCTTGATTTTGCAGTTGTAGTGTGACGTCCGCTGTAACTGTCAGCTCCCATACTGGACAGGTGAATACCGTATAGATAGTGTCGGATGAGGGTGTCGCGTAGTATCGGTAGAATAAACACGATGGCTTGCAAAAGAAGCAACCGTCACAGTTCCAACATTGACAGCTGCTTGTACAAAATGTGAAACCTGGATTATTCGACGCTTTCCAGCTGAACTCGGATATGACGTCTGTTGATTTTCCACGACGCCATCTCTTGCGCAATACTTCATCCTGAATGTTCCTGCTTCATTTACCGCTATGCCTGTTCGCCGTTGTGTCGCAAAGTTCTTGGAAGGTCCTTTCAAGCAGAATTCGGGAGACAGATTGTTGCAGTCTGACGCCGTTTCTTTTTTGCTTCTCTTTTCCGTAGTATATGAAGAATTCAAAAATGACCGGATAAATTCCATTTCAGAGAAGCGCTACCAGGACGACCACTTATTATTAAGAAGCTTTTGGCAAGGATTTGGTAGGAGCACTTTGTTAGGTTTTGGGATTGAAGTATTTGGATGGGAACTGTTCTGAAGCATCCCGAGGTCTATTCCCCTATGAAAGGCCTACAATAAAAACTTAGACGTCAAAGTAGTCGTATTATCCCTACGGATCCAGTTGCGCGACTCCTGCTGAAGCCTAAGCGTTGGCTAAGGAAAGGAACATAGAGGCATTGTGGAATGTCCCTCCATCCGTATACGTGAGCGCGTTTCCTTTGTTCCGTGTCGTAGGTCAGAACTCATACGGCTGCTCGGTCGGGGGGTCCGCTTCGAAAGCGTGCTTGAACCAAAACCAGGACCCAATAGTTTGGTAGGATAACAAGTTGTGCCTGCTGCTATTAAACCTTATTTGAGCTCTTATTCAAGACTCTCTTGGTGATTTGAAATTGCAACGCACAGTTCATTTATTTGAATGGTCTCATTTGAAGTATTCGTCTTTATACTTTGGAAATAGCTAGTAAAAAGAAAGTTGCAGAAGAAACACGCAGAAATGTCGGATGGTCTGAACGAAAATAAGGAGAAAGTCGCTGAAATATATGAGGTTGTTAATTGTTCTGCTTAAATTGAAATTTTAAATGTTAGGAAACGTGCTTACCAGCTAATTATGTATCTGTGTATTTAGTATTTATTGGTTTTTTTACCAGTCGGCTCGTCGGCTGCGCAAGCACGCCTCCTTTCAATACGGCCCTTGCTTCGCCGCGCTTTCCTTCTTCTACATGTTTGTAACCAGATGATATCCGGCTTCTTTTTCATTTGAACAGATGACCAACGCTCCCTTCACTATAAAATCATACCTGCAATTTTCAGCACTATTACTGTGCATGGAATTGTGGTAAGGAGTGTTGATGAAGTGCAGAGATGAGAGGAAAGCCGGGTATTAGTCGCTTCATTCGAGCGTACGAAAGTACGGAGGCGAAACGAAGTCATGACATCCCGGCAAGGCCACAGACGAGGCGCGCAGGCGTCAGCCGGCCGATGATCAAGAGAATGGCTGTCGATGTTTGAAGCTCAGTACGAATAGGCACCTCGTGCGTGAGCTGCCCTTTTTGTGAGCGGATAAAACACCGCAAACATAGCCAACCTTCACCATATGTATGTTTCTGTTCTCCAACAACTTTTCTGATCTCCGAAGCCACTCAGGTCCGGATCACGAAACTTTAAGCACCGCCTATCTCGAGTACAGCCCCCCATTCTGTGGATGTCTCCCCCATTCCATCCACAAACCCTCGTGGATTCAGTTCACTTCCCCGGCGCCCATGGTGCTCTGCAAGCGATTCGGCAATTCGTGAATTTTTGTCTTTTGTCCCGCCCACCTCGGCAGTTGCTGCGCCGACAATGGGGGTATCTCGCACTTCTCAACCGGTGAGCTATCGCTGACATTAGTCTAATTTTTCCTGGTGTCTGCAGTACTCTGAAACCGTTTTACGAATTTTTAGGTTTTGCTCACGATTTTTTTCCCAACTCAGCACCTCTTGTTCGAAGTCACGCCCAGCGCACTGTGTGCGGGTTTCAGCACAGCACAGTCTGGTGTGGGGTACTCTCCAGGTGCTTGTCTTTGCCGTGGCCTTTTTTGCAATCTCTGAACTCTCTCGGGGACCGAGTTGCGACATTTGTGCGAAGCATCGCCCATCTCAAGTACGCCCCGCTCATTTCGGGTATGTCTCCTCTATTTGGTATGCCAACTCTTTACCAACCTTACCACCTTTCCCCTATTTCGGCGTTGCTCTGGAGCTGAATTATGGGCTTTCCCACTGACACCGCTAACTTTCGGCGCATGCCCCGCCCAATATGGGCGGGGCTTAGCACGGGTCACGGTTGCTCTTTAGACCTTGTACCATGCCCTTGCTTGAGCCCACCTCTCCAAGCTGTTCTTCTCAAAGACCGGATTTATGGACAGACAAAACAAACAGCGTGCAAACAAACGAACAAACAGACGTAGCGAATTATATATAGCGGATGGTTCTTGCCATGACTAGAATTTAGAATTGGGACCATTGGCGAATCGCTGAGAGAATCCTCAACAAACTCATCAAACTCCGCATTGAATGAATCTCCTTGGCTATGAATGTGTAGGACGCAACGGCTTGACGCAGAACTGATTTTATACACTTTCATCTTGAGTGCAACTTCACTCTTCGTTCGGACCTCTCTGCAAACGATTCGATATAATTTGATCTTCAAGGGCACTCTTATTTGAAGACGCTCGTCTAGAAATTTCAGGCAGTGAGGATAGCTGACACAAGTGTTGTACCTATAAGATTGAGGCATGGGGTATGTCGGTATGGAGAGCGGCCTTCCTACTGGCCCTTCAGTGCAACTAATCGGTAATCCAGGAAATTCCCGCAGCACCAGTAGCCGTTCCTTCTGGTCTGCTGGATCAGTCGGCCCGCACCACTGGCAGTAGCCCCATAAACCAATCATACCTCCACTACAGCACCAACAACTACTCCAACCATGAGCGAATAACCGGCACTTTGTCGACTCCCAAGTCGCAACAATAACACTGCTTTTTTATTATTCACCTTGGTGACCTTCTTCCATCTTACCGTCAATTCCACAGAGAAGACCATCCATTTGCCGCAGTCCATCAGTCCTAGCTAATGTTCTAGTGATGGTTCCCTGCTGGCTCCATAGTTCAATTCGTAGCCGGCCGCGCCCTCGGGTGCAACTGAAGCAGGCCTCAACCAGTGTTTTCTTGGGCGGAGCAGTGCGCCTGATCACGCTGCTGTATACATAGTGTGCACGAACCAATGTATAGTCCGCTCAGCGTCTTAGCAGCGCAGAGTGCGAGGCGGCTCCTTCTTTTCGAAGGTAGAGAGACGCACTGTCTGGACGTCGACAGCCCATATACAGGCTCTACTTGAGATAGATCCACGCTGCGCCTTCCTGCGTACGTGTCGCCTTTTTGGCAGTGTAGTACGACAGAATCCAGGCGCATTCCAGCGGTCATAGTCGCGAAACGCAACAGTGTGTATGTTTAGAAATTTTCTTCATTCTTGGCATGAAGTGCTTACGTCCTCAGTAGAGTGGCTCATGCTGGTCGCGTCTCGCTTGAAATGACGCGAAAGAGTGGAGAAGAAGGGAATTTCAAACCCTAGCATATAGGTACCAAATTCCCGAGTTCGTCAGGCAAACTGGTGCGATCCAGCTTTTGTGTTCTCTGCGCACGTACGTGGAAATTCGCAACACATACCAAAATAAATGCACAATTGAGCTAGTACTGCCACAAAACCTGACAAGCTATTTTGGCTGAAACTTTGTCCACAGAGGTTATTTCGTGCCCTGGTTACGACTGTGACATTCATTTTTGGCGCCAGCACTAATAAAAGGCACTCCAATCATCTGTTAAGGTTGTGCAGGCACAAAGGGAATTACTCACTCACCCTCTCAGGCAGCGGCATGGGGATGTGCGAAATGTCGGTGTGAGTACGACCCCCCCTTTTCCACAAGAAAAAATCAACTATCAAAATAAATTTGTCTTACAAATACGACCCCCCCCCTCCCCAGAGCAAAAGTACGACCCCCCATGGGTTTGACACAACGATGCTGTACCCTGCTCTCAGGCCCGGCCTTAAAAGAGTGAAGAAACGCGGTGGGTAACAAATGGCTTCCTTAGGCGTGATCAAAGCACTATAAAACCTTCATGCAAAATTTATCGATAATAAAAACGCTGGTTTCAGCAAAACATTTTTTGATTCTCAGGCCCGATTCCCTCCCTCTCCTCACCCACGTCAGAGATGTGAAAGAGTTTCACCCAAGGTGTCCTTAATGATTTTCTGCGCTCGGACACTTTTCAAACCAAATCGGACACTTTTCAAATCAAATCGGACACACCCCTTACAATGGGCAGTTGAGAACTAGACCACACTAGGTACTGCTGCAAGCCCCGCCCAACACCCCCGCCCACTTCTTAGCGCGGCCGTGGTTTTCCAAATGTTTTATGAATTCTGCTTCTTCGAATTTTTTTCACTTTTGCTACTTGACACACACATTCAACTGAATAGGTTTGATACCGACACATATATGACTAAACAATAAAGTGACGTAAGTTCTGAATTTTTATAACATTTTTCGACGTCTTTTTTTCACATTCAATCTTCACAAAACGAATATAGTCCATGCATTTACACACTAGCACACTAAGCCCCGCCCCTCTGACCACGCCCACTTTCGTTTTTCGCGGAATTTTGATTTTCTTCCGAATTTTTACTTTTTTAGGCTGTGACAAGCGGCCCCGCCCACTAATGGAAGCTCCGCCCACTTTGTAGAAGCCCCGCCCACTTTTCAAAAATGATGCAGATCGGCGAGCTAGTGACCGCACTAGCAGGGTATGGCCTCTCACATAGAATGAAAAAAGGAAAGACTAGAACTAAGGAGAAACATTGTTCTGGGAGACAGGAGGGACCACACCCTGCTAATATGGTCACTAGCTCGCCGATCTGCATCATTTTTGAAAAGTAGCTCTACAAAGCGGGCGGAGTTTCCATTAGTGGGCGGGACCGCTTGTCACAGCCTAAAAAAGTAACTGCGGAAGAAAAATCGAAATACTGCGAAAAACGAAAGTGTGGTGCGGTCAGAGGTGCGAAGAGTGTGCTAGCGTGTAAATGTACGACTACATTCGTTTTGTGAAGATTGAATGTGAAAAGAAAAAAGTTATAAAATCAAAACTTGCGGTAACTTCATTGAGAAGTGGGCGGAGTCAGATCTGTATCGGTACCAATCCTTTTCAGTTGAAGTGTGTGTGCAACTAGCAAAAGTGAAAAAAAGTCGAAGAAGCAGATTTCATAAAACATTTTGGAAAACCGTGACCGCGCTGAAAAGTGGGCGGGGCTTGCAGGAGTACCTGGTGTGGTATAGTTATTAACTGCCCGTTGTAACGGGTGTGTCCGATTTCAACTCGAACCCAACTTCATGATACTCATTATTGACTACTGATAATAACTTCAAAAAGAACATGGGGTGAACCAGTCAATCTCATAATTTTTGTCTAACATGTACCAGATTTTTCAGAGTTCTAGCCACAGCCGCCTTCTGCTCAACCAGCTGGCACAACTTCGTAACGACTCATTGCTCTGTGATGTGACTCTGCTCGTCCAGGTAGATTGCAAGAGTTACACTCTCTAGATAGTCCTTAAAGTTTCGCATCAAACTTTTCTTCAAAAAAATTATAGCCTCATTTGTTTGATAAAACAGAATAAAGAGTCACAAGTGTCTTAATAATATACTTAATATAATAAATAGTTTCATAATATAATATAAAAGTATGGTCCATGGGTGAGCGGCACAACCCATCATTTTTGAACGCGAGCGTGCTTTTCAAAAACAGAACAAGAGCCTTCAGGTCTCGTGGCTATCAATTTCTGAAGTCGAGTACTTCAGCGGCTGCAAGGTGGAGAAGTGCGAATAATTTGTCGTTCCTCACAACGTAACTGGGAGGGACCATAAATGCACGTAAAATGGAGAAAAAAATCGCAAACCAAAGAAGTTTTTTTTTCGACCCGGAAGATTGCTTTCAACCGGAATGAACCCCATCGTCAAAATACGGTTCTCGAACCTGCGACCGACAGGTGCCCTGATGCGGATTTTTATTTATTTATTTATTTATTTATTTGCCATGTCAATATTTTACAATATGTGGCACCTCATTAGATCAATCCATTCCTTCTTCGTCATGCATCTTGCCGCATTTTGCCAATTGCACGTAATCAGCACTTTCTTAAACTCATCTCTCCATCGGGATTTCGGTCGTCCAATCCGTCTTCGCAAATATGGGTGCCATTCCGTGAGCAGTTTTGACCACTTGTTTCTACTTGAACGAGCCATTTCCCAGGCGTAACTCCACTTCCTTTCTAAGGCTTTCTCCACCACATCCTTAACTTTCGTCACCCCACGTAACCAGGCATTTGTCTTATGATCCAGAAGACGTACTCCTACCATGCGACGCTCCATCTTTCTTTGTGCACGTATGAGTCTGTCTTTCATTGTTCTTGTTAACACCCATGTTTCGGAGCCATATAGCATAGCAGGCAATACGCACATGTCGAACAGTCGACGTTTCCATTTCATTTCCACGCTTCTCGATGTGAAAAATTCCTTGTATCGCAGAAATCTTCCCCAACCGATGTGAATGCGTCGTGTGATCTCTCCGGAAAAATCATGATACAGAGAAATTTCTTGTCCGAGATAGGTGAATGTCTGCACTTGGTCTAGCTGAACATCCCTATAGAAGATCGTTGCCGTTGTTCTTGCCATTATCTTTATTTTTGCAGAATTTATTTTTAGCCCACAACATCTAGAGTTTTTGTCGAGGTCATCTATCATTGTTTGTAATTCTTCCTCGGACTTCGCAATAAGGACGACATCATCAGCGAATCGAAGGTTGTTCACTTGGGTTCCGTTGATTGTCAGTCCATAGCTGGACCATTCCAGTTTTCGGAATATATGCTCGAGAGTAGCAATGAATAATTTTGGTGAAATAGTATCTCCTTGGCGAACTCCGCGATTTATCTGTATGGGTATATGTTCCTCACAAAATCGGACTTTTGATTGGGCTGTGGTATATATATGGCGAAGAAGGGAAATTATTTGGGTGTGAACTCCTTGTTCTTGCAAAGCGTTCCACAGGGCATTCATTTCAACTGTATCGAAAGCCTTCTCATAATCGACAAATGCAATGAAGATCTCCAAGTGATATTCGTGGCTCTTCTCAATAATCTCATTGATAGCGTGAATATGGTCTATCGTGGAGAAACGTTTTCGAAAGCCGGCCTGTTCGTTAGGTTGTTCGCTATCTAAAAGCTTTTCTAAGCGTTCGTTGATCACCTTTGTTAACAACTTATACAGGACAGGCAGCAATGAAATGGGACGGTAGTTTTTGAGCTCTCTGGGGTCCCCATTTTTATGGAGTAGGATAGTTATAGAGTCTGCCATTCCCTCTGGGACGGAACCGGTGCGGAGGCATTCATTGAAAAGCTCAGTAATTAGTGGTATAAGGTTAACTGCACCCCACTGCAACATTTCCGTCGTTATAAGATCGTGTCCTGGAGTTTTCCTGGCATTTGTGTTCTTCAAAGCTGTTTCTACCTCGCTCGGGAGGATTGGTGCACAATCATCATCGTCTTTCTTCCATTGTGTGTAGGGCACCATGCTTTGCGATGTGTACAGCTGGTCATAATACTCCCTTATGACTTCTTTGATTTCGTTCCTCGACACACATAGTTTCCCTTTCTTGTCTCGTAGCTGAGTCGGTTGTCGCCGACCAACTGACATTTGGTTTTGCACTATCTTCAAGCTTCCACCAGTAGCAATCGCTTTCTGAACAAGATCACGATGATGTAAACGAATATCGTTTCTTATCATCCTTCTCAGCAATTTGCAAGTTTCGATGTATGCTACTCGGTCTGTTAGCGTATTCATCTCTCTCTTCAGTTGCTGTCGCTGTCTCATTAGTGATAGGGTGTCAGTGGAAAGGTAGTGGCGAGCTTGGGTACGTCTTATAGCCACAGATGCCGCGTTCCTGATATACCTGCATATTTCTTGATAACGATTCGATGGATCTTGAATGGTTCGAGGACAAATTCTGGCCAGTTCCATCTGGTAAGCGTCTCGGTCTAGATAAGACTTCGAACGTGTTCTCTTTCTCATTCTGGTAGTGCAGCTGTGTATCTCTAAAATTCCTCGTAGAAGCCGATGATCAGTTTCAAACTGTATTGATCCTGTTCTGATACTGTTGAAACGAAGGTGACGGCATGCAAATATATGGTCGATACAGCTAAAAGTCTTCCCGTTCGGAGATCTCCAGGTCCACTTTCGTCCATTCCTGGTCTTGAAAAACGTGGCAGCTGCCCGAAGTTGTAGTTCTTCGCAGAAGTCTACAAGTATTTGCCCTCGTGTATTTCGACAACTATCGTACGTATGCCTTCCAAGAGAACTTTCCATGTCATTTGTCTTCTTCCCTAAATGTGCATTAAAATCGCCCAATATGATTGGATGTATTTTCGACGTATCGTGCATCATTTTCGACGTCGGTCTTACTCCGCATGGTGTATACTTGTTTGCGGAGTCAAGTATGATGGCTTGAATGTTTTCGACATGTGCACAATAT